GGTTAGGGTTAGGGTTAATTTGATATGGTTAGGGTTAGGGTTAGGGTGTTAGGGTTAGGGAGTAGGCGACATACTCGCCGACACCCCGGGTGCTACATATACGACAACGACCCCTTCAGCGAGACAGTAACATGCAAAATTCATCACGAAAGCGTGCAACAATATTTAAAAAAAAACACCAGCACTCAAGAGAATCTAATCTAGCAACCACATCTGACTTACTCAGCACATTAGCATTGGCACTCTTTGCAGGAAGTTTCGAAGGGGGCCGGAGCCCCGAGGGTTTCTGGCTCATTTTAACGAATTATCCTGGCGTCTGTTATCCGACCTATGCTCTTGATTGCACGCACTCGATTCCAAATCTCCGAAAAAGTCCGCTCACATCATACGTACATGATGATCAAATCTTCAAGACCTGCCGTGGAATCACAGAATATACGTGAGCAATGCATGAAACTTGCATAAATTATCATAAAAAATCGGAAAGAGGAATGTTTTAAAAGGACACGAGTTGAAAGTAGCAGAGACATGCAGGCAACCTTGAACTGGTGGTATAGCTCCCTGAGCATTTATTACAACAGAACACCCAGTGCAAAAGTTACAGCAACATACATGTGTAGACATTTTTATTTGTCCAATCCTTCAACGTGCATGCCTACAGTTACTGTAGGTGCCTTCATATCCCTACAATTCTCTATCACTATCGTAAGAAAGACATTTTTAGGCTGACTTGTATTGTGATCAGTATTTATTTTCTCTATATTCCCTCTAATTTTGATTGATTCTAATTCTGATTGATTCTAATTCTGATTGATTCTAATTTTGATTGATTCTAATTTTGATTGATTCTAATTTTGATTGATTCTAATTCTGATTGATTCTAATTCTGATTGATTCTAATTCTGGTCACTACATAACAAACACAGAGACATGGACGCACGCGCGCATGCACACACACGCACGCACGCACGCACGCACGCACGCACGCACGCACGCACGCACGCACGCACGCACGCACGCACGCACGCACACACACTGGAATGTCAATTTTTAAAATTACTATTATTACGGTCTTGTAATTCCTTCACATCAGAACTAGTGCATCTAAACAATATACAGCACGCCTCAGCCACAACACATACAAGCAGGCTGCCAACAAAATGACTGGCACTGGCAGGCAGAAAAAACTGCCAGTGACTCACCAAATATACTGCATGGATTCTAAAGCTGCACACAGAAATATAATTTTTACCAAATAATCACTCCAATCTTAATTGCATGCAATCGCACTTCGATTTTAATCTCCCACATTAATTCAAAATCGGGTAGTAAACCCTATACCTCGATGTATCTGACTCGAATCGGCTACAGCCTTTACCAAGTGAACACATCTGACAGTTTGTAAGGTAAACTAATGCTGGCAGCATGCCCCACTCTGCTATACAGCAACACGGGGGCGTGCCGCCGTCTTACTGAGCATAGCGCGCTCCTCCACACAGATGAAAATCTTTAGGAAATTACATCTAACCGGAAGTATGTACGTTACCACTGACTCCGTGCCTTGTATAATTCAGGGCGCATTTACTGCGGGCTACATCAGGCACAACACGCACGCACGTGGCCTGAATCACACAGACACCGGCACCCGATGACAAATAGAAGAATTGAACGGAAAAGCAAACAGTTTCCCAACGCGTGTTGTTGACCACTCGGTAACGATAAGCTGTGATACATGCAATAATGTGATGTGTCTCAATCCACCTACACAATCCTTGACAAGGGCACCATATTAGCATTCAGTGAGCTTAATCTTTCACATAAATCTTCCATACACGCACGCACACGCCCACACACACCCGCGGGAATAACATCTTTCACTAAACATCTTAGCAGGATAGTGTGTGTGGTAGTCATCTTGGTATAGTTAAACGTATTCAACTAGACTCATTCTGTGCCTATCTATTAGACTTTGGTCCTTGTCTACATATGATTCCTATACATGATACTGAGACGTTTTTGCTGTGAGCGTTTTTGCCTTCATAAATTCATAAACGAATTGCAGTTTTAATTCAATTACAATTTTAACACATGCAGACTAACTATGGTCTGACAATAGCAAGTGGAATGAATATATATTTTATATTCCACTTTACACATGATCCCGTGCATCAAATCATCTAGTTTGCCTCACGAGTTGCTTTAGAGTTCTATAACCAGTCGCACAGAAGGAGAAGTGGGTAAAACAGCCACAGGCAGTCCTCTATAAATAACTCTCAGCACGCCTCTGACATAAATCATCAGTGATCATATATAGCAGGTTATATACATATATAATTTTTATTACATATGTGTGTGTGTGCGTGATGATCATTAAAAATCTTCAGAATATAGCTATCACTCTCAAGTAAATTTAATTACAGTGGTTAACAATGTTGTTCGCTTATGGGCCTCGTGAAACGTAAGTCCCCGAGACTGTATGTAAACCGATGGTAATGTATGTCAGTCAACCCATAATACCGACTGCTATCAAACTACCAACTCAACGGACACGATTTTTGAATGTCGCAGAATTTTAAGGTTACATCGAAAATCAGTACTCTGTATAGAATAATGACATTCCTATCAGCTCAGGAGTAGCAGGCTATACTACAGGCCAAGCCTTCGCTGCAGACTGCTCCTACATTTCCCTCCACAGTTAACTGCAAGGACACGATGAGCAGCTGTAGCCAGTCTACAGCTTGTAATGGAAACCGATGACCAAGCTGGGAAAATATATAGGTCTCCAGCCAAGCTGCCGTTAGAAGTTAGAAAATTCGGAACAAAGACGATCTGCTCCAGATCTGAGCCGTGTAGATTGACGTGTCTGTGCACATTTTTCTAAAATGCTGGCGGCTGATTACTAGCAGTGCAGTGCGGAGGTCGGTTTCAAATTCATGCCATTTGTGTGTGCCTCTCACTTCCTAGAGTCTTGGTGGGGTACCCTAAATCTCAGTTAACAGTAAACATTTGGATATTTACTAAGCACTCAGTAAATAGTTCCATTGCTAAACTCATAGCATTGGCAATAAGTATTGCCTACATGCAATGTCAAATAAATTTAAAGCCATGCAGATCACACAAAAGTGATACCAGGATTGAATCTTGTGCAATGATTTTTTCCCCACCTGTGGACACATTTTTTCTGTTGCAGCTACTGTATATCTCCCACTACCCACATCCACACATACAATTCTCAAGTATAAGTAATGCCTGTAATTTATTTACAATATTATTGTACATTATTCATGAAACATGCAGTACTTATGCATTATAAACAACATACTGTGACCTGCTTTTCGTAAACAACTTAATAAAATGACAGACTATTAGCAAAGCCTTCATAGTAATTGCCAGTTTATGTAATTAGTATAACTAGTCAAGTATGCAGGTTGTTCCTTCCCTACACTAGTGGCTCTAACACACTACTAAAAAATCCCCCGAAAATCTAAAGTTATATATTTATAGCTTCAAAGTGACTATTTATCCCAGCACCCAACTTGTCTTAATCCAGTAGCAGAGAAACCTTGCCTACTCAACAGTGATTCTCATTATTTTCGTATATATGTACAAATCACAATATCAACATATTGATACAGATGTGTACTGCTTATTGGTGTTATTAGAACTGATATTGTCTATGTATTTCTCATATGTACATGACAATGTGAGCATAACCCTGGTAAGGAAGCCTGAGTAGGTGCTAGGCCTTATTATTATTCTTTCTAAAGTAGATCACGGCATTAGCCGGTGGCTTCTGGGTTGACCGTGTCTCAACCTGGGACATAGGGATTCAATCCAGAATTTTTCGCAGGATGTGTGCTGTTCCCAGTAGTGCAATTTTCTGCACTTCTTGGGCAGTGTGGTGGCCAGGGAGTTCCTTAAAAGGTTCTTCTCAAAACCATTCTTTATAGTGCCAAAAGCTCCAACCACCACAGGCACAATTCTCGTCTTAGTAAGTATTCCATGCTCCTGATTTCGATCTCCAGATCTTTGTACTTGGTGAGTTTGTCTCTTTCCTTCACCATCATGTTAGTATCATCTAGTAGTAGTACTACTAGTAGTAGTAGTAGTAGTAGTAGTAGTAGTAGTAGTAGTAGTAGTAGTAGTAGTAGTAGTAGTAGTAGTAGTAGTATTAAATCTTTTGATGTATGCTACTCATGACTTGAGCTCATAGGGTCTATGTCCCCCAGGGTACTGCCAGAACGTACCCTGGGTACAGTCCGGTATACCGGAACGTACCCTGGTAACTATCTGATATTGTTAGGGTTAGGGCCAGGGAGTAGGCGTAGGCAACTCCCCAGACTCGTTAGTGGAGTAGGCGAGGTATGGTCCGGCATATTAGATAGTACCAGGGTACGTTCCGGCAGTACCCTAGGGGACATAGACCCTCTCAGCCTTAGTAACAGATATGTTCATGCTCTTACTCATACCTAGACGAAACAGTCATATATCACAAGACTGAAAGATGTGAAGTCTGGAAAGTCTGATAATCCATAGGCATAGTCCTTATGCGTTGCCATAGGCATATACGATACAATTGTAAACAAATTTGAATCTGTTCAATCACGAAATGTCAACTGATTTAAATTACGCAGTGGCTATGCGTCCGGAACCGGTCGCCTAGCCTCCAGGCTATGCGTCCGGACATCCACTCACACAGTGATCGCGCGGCTCGCGTACACGCATGATTGCGCAACGAGACGCTCTGCTGCCGTCTATCCTTTCATCCGTCCTCTCTCGCTCTCTCTCTCTCTCTCTCACACACACACACACGCGTAGCTCTCTCTCTCTCTCACACACACACTCTCTCTCTC